ACCACCACCACCACCACCACCACCAACACCACCCCGCCGTTGATCCGTACATCTTTCATCATGCGCTGCAGGTCTAGCGGGGAGCAGACGCTAAGCGAGGCACTGCCCGGCAGCATGACGACGTGGGTCGTGTCGGCGATCGCCGTCGGCCCGTCGACGCCGATGTGCGTGTCGCGTCCGCACGAGCTGCGCGCCTTCAAGCCGCTCTTCGTCGACCTGCACATGCCGTACGCCGCCGTGCGACACGAACAGATCGAGATCCGAGCGACGGTGTTTAACTACGGAGACCACGACCACGATGTAAGTGTGGGTATGGGTGGGTGGTTGGTTGGGAGGGCGGAGGGTATTGTGGGATGAGTATAGGGGAGGGGGTGATCGACGGAAGTTGTTGGGGTAAGTGAACGGGTAAGCGTGGGTGCGTGCGCGCGTGAAACAAGTAAACATGCAGATGAAACAAGTGAGCAGGTGAGCGTGGGTGGGTGCGCGCGTGAAACAAGTAAACATGCAGATGAAACAAGTGAGCAGGTGAGCGTGGGTGCGTGCGCGTGAAACAAGTAAACATGCAGATGAAACAAGTGAGCAGGTGAGCGTGGGTGCGTGCGCGCGTAAAACACGTAAACATGCAGATGAAACAAGTGAGCAGGTGAGCGTGAGTGCGTGCGCGCGTGAAACAAGTAAACATGCAGATGAAACAAGTGAGCGTGGGTGGTGCGGGGATGAAACAGATGAACAGATAAACGTTGGTGCATGCAATAAACAAATGAGCAGTTAAACGTCAATGAGTGCATAAAACAAGTGAAGAGATAAACGTTGATGCGTCAATGAAACAAGTGAACAGATAAATGTCAACGATCAGGAGAAACGATTCCTGTATCTATTTGGCAGAGAATTAACGAGCGGATGTGTCCACCGTCTACATTAACAATTACAACGTAAAAACATCTCGTGTCTGTAAACAGGGCAGGTCACGTACACACAAACAGATCTGTGAAAATACGCCGTTAATTGAATACTAGTAGGTCGCCAAGGAGAGACAAGTACAATCGCCCGTGTACACGAGTTAGAATCACAGATTCTACACGCGTTCCTATATCGACCGATACGTCAAGTGTGTGTGTGTGTGTGTGTGTGTGTGTGTGTGTGTGTGTGTGTGTGTGTGAATGTGTGTGTGTGTGGAGGGGAGGAGGTGTTGGATGTCATCGCAAATGGACTCTTTAAATCGATTCTACTCTCACGCGAGTCGTGCGCCATCGCCGGCACGACCTAAAATAGAATCACAAACGAAATTGTCGCTGTTTGAATACTCTAGTCTTACGTCTCGCTCGCGGGTGGAATTGTTATCCAGAGCATGATGCTAGCGTGCGCGAGTCCCACTTTTTCTTCTATACCGCTTTGAAATGGCTAGACATTTCAATCGGCGATGAACGCACGAATATTTATTATTAACGCATCGTTCGTTATCGTCTGTAGAATTTTCGCGTGCGTGTGTTTGCTGAACGTTACATCGAATCGATGTTAGCATCGAGTTTTCCCCCAGCTTATTCTACAAGGTTTTCCGCTTCGTCATTGCACGCTGTCTGTACGTGCGAAATGATTGACAGTTCGACGGAAATTGAATTAAGCTGAGATTTTGTCCTGCGCATAAATCAATCATGGCCGCCATTATTCGAGTAATTAAAATGAGTGTAAGCATAAAGTTGTTACGAAATGATTAATCATTCGCTGGCTGTTGTCGAGGGAATAGGAATTGTATCGGGGTAGCAATGCGCGTATGTACCACTGGCATCTACTCTTCTAACAACAGGTAATTACTGATGATTATTAATTATTTGCACATGTCATGCGTGTCTTATGGCTCCATGCAGAGCCATGACAGCTAATTCCAGATTTTGTACCTATAGACTGTACCATACCATCAGGATTTTTTTCGTATGGGTCTACAGTCAAATATGTCTTTTGAATCAGTGTTTACATCGAAAGGCGTCTACTGGTAAATGGGTCTTTTATATGTCTAGCCAGTATTACACGGCAAATGTTTTCCTATAAGATGCTACAGCCATATATATTCCGTTTAGTCAGTCTCAAACAATGATTTCACTGGAAAATAGCTGCTGGTGATCTCTATATTAATTTTCATAGAGGTAGCAGCTTTATTGCTTATATATAGCTTGCTGCGATAGAAAGCTATATGGACACACTCTAACCATCTCCTCACACCACTAAATATTACTTTCATCATAAAACGTACGCATACTCATAGAATTCATACACGCAAACCTTTATCTAAATTCGGGAATTACTATTCTCTCATAAGTAGCCCACCGAAGCTTTTCCGCCTTACGGCCTTAATTAGATTCACAGCTGAATAACGTTTGGGTGTCAGGTACAAGCAGTCATGACGGGCGTGAGCGGGCTCTGCTCGGGAGCGCTGCCAGGCCAGAACAGCACCGCCAAACAGTTCCTCGTTCCGGCGCACGATAGCGCCACCGTCAGCTTCCTCATCGTGCCGCTGAAAGTCGGAGAGTTTCCGGTGAAAGTGACGGTGGTGGCGCAAGATGGCGCTGTCGACATCGTGCAGAAAATACTGAGGGTTGCGGTAAGTCACGAAACTTTGCCAGATTCTCAGCAGGCAGAAGATAATTTAGCACGTTGAATAATTGCGCACATCAAACTAATTAAACTTAACAAAAAATAAGAATAATAATAACTAAAATCGATGTTCAGGACATGGTGGATGTATTCGGGATCGAGCAACCCCCTGCACGTTTATTCATCGTGTAATGTCGTTTCTTGCAGCCAGAGGGCGTTGAGAAGGTTGCCCTCTACTCGGCAGTGCTGGACCCATCCGGACAGTTGAAACAGAGGACTAAACGAAGCACGGGAGAGAGCAACGTCTTGGCATACGGTGCGATTCACTAAGGAAACAAACACTATAGACGATTAACGTCAGTGAAGCTACGTTACAAAAACTACTAGTACTTCCATCTCCTGGGATCATAATCACTATCACATTAATATATTATTATTATATAATAATAATTAGTTATAATTAATTATTATAATAATTAGTTATAATTAATTATTATAATATTTAATTACAATTAATTATTATAATAATTAAATATAATAATTATAACAATTATAATTAATTAATTAATTATATTAATTATTATGAACCCGCGCTAATCTTCATCGTCCGTCATCGTTGCAGAGTTGCTAGACGACACATCGAGCAAGCAGACGAACACGATAGATCTGACGGTACCGGAGGACGCCATTCCCGACACGGACCGCTGCAGCGTCACCGTCATGGGAGACCTGCTGGGCGCTACCGTACAGACAGTGCTGGGAGGCATGGGTCCCATCGTAGACATACCGACAGGTAGGGGGCGCCACAGTGTAGATAGATCTATCTATCTATCTTTTTTTCTCTGTTTTCTCTCTCTCTCTCTCTCTCTCTCTAGAAGCGGCCAGAAGCTGTGTGTGTGTGTGTGTGTGTGTGCGTGCGTGCGTGCGTGCGTGCGTGCGTGCGCGTGCGTGCGTGCGTGCGTGCGTGCGTGCGTGTCTTTCTGTGTGTGTGCGTGCGTGCGTGCGCGCGTGCGCGCGTGCGTGTCTTTCGGTGAGTGTGTGTGTGTGTGGGTGTGTGCGTGTCTTTCTCTCTGAGTGTGCGTGTCTCTCTCTCTCTCTTCGCTCTCCCTCTCGCTCTCACCCTCTCTACCTCTCTACGGCGTAGGTTGTGGAGAGCAGACGATGATTCACATGGCGCCGGCCGCCTACTCGATGTACTACCTACAGCGCACAGGCCAGCTCACCGACGAGATGGAGAAGAATGGTCAGAAATATCTCATCGACGGTACGTATAGATGGCGGCACCTGTCACTTCACCGCAGACGAAGATCACCAAACCAGAAACGGTGGTTTTTATAAGAAATATCGTAACGAAACTCTACGATAGTAATTACCACTATTTTAACATGTGAAAAAAGCTATGGTCAGGATAAATATTACGACTAATATGCTTTTAGACGACTGCCTCTTGGTAAATGATCCCTTCAGCTTGTTGATATCCCGATCAGACCCAATGCTTAAACAGTGAGCGTGATACGTGCAAACATTCGAGCTAATGCGTCGTTGATTAAATGCGACATTACACCTTCTAATCTTATCTATAGGCGTCGGGTTTCGGGAAAATTTTACAACGTGAAATTTTACTGTAAGTAGTCGATAAAGTCAGCCGATCTCTTCCGCGTAATTATGACTCGCATTAATTAGCTATAATTAATAACGAGGTAATGGTCTGTTACAGGATACAACCAGGAGCTATCGTTCAGAACCGACGACGGTTCGTTTTCCGTCTGGCCTCACCTAGACTCGAGCACCTGGTACGTGACGCCCCCCCCACCCAAATAACGTCCTATCACCGCGTGTCAGCATCCAATTTAAATTCCGAATTCAAATTTTTTTGCAATTTTTAGGTGTAATCCGCCATCTTGCTTCACCAACTAACTTCCTATCACCGCGCATCAACGTCAAATACAAATTCCGAATAATTTTTTTTTAGGTGTAGTTATTCGCCATCTTGCTTCACCATATAACGTCCTATCACCGCGCGTCGACGTCAAATTTAAATTCCGATTGAAACGACATTATTATTCGTCATCTTGCTTGCTTTACTGTACACGCATGTGTCTCTGTGTGTGTTATCCGCCATGTTGCTTTACTGTTTAAGGTTATATGTGTATATATGTGTGTGTGTGTGTTTTCAGGTTGACGGCTTTCGTACTGAAGGTGTTCTGTCAGGCAGAGGAGTTCATTTACGTCGACAAGAAGGTGACGTGCGTCGCGATGAGCTGGATCATTCAACAGCAGAAGGCTAGCGGAGCGTTCGATGAGAACTACAAGATCTGGCACAAAGAGATGATGGTACGTACGCGCGCGCGAGCGCGCGCGCGTGTGTGTGTGTGTGTGTGTGTGTGTGTGTGTGCGCGGTCGGGTGTGCGTGCGTGCGTGCCCACATAGAACAAATTACATACTAAACCTTCTTGTCAAGTCATCCAGCTTTCACGTCCTCCCCCGCACTCACGTGTATAGGTAGACATGTTAACAAGGCTGTGTCGTTATCTTACAGGGAGGACTTAACGGTGAAGCCCCGCTCACAGCGTTCGTCGTCATCTCCATGCTTACATGCAACAACTGCGAGATTCCGGTACGTATCCTATACATAGTATATAGCTACATGCTTGGTGGCGCATATTCTCCTGGAATAGGTAAATGCGTAATTAGTGGTAGCAATTATATAGTTTTTACACTGTAATTACATATATTTTTATACTGCTGATTACACCGCTAGAATAGCTGGAATAATATATATATATATATATATATATATATATATATAATTGGGAGTGATCAAAATAATTTCCGGGTTGCATAGCGGAATACATATGCATGCCCATTATCCCGATATAGAACAGTATTTGTTGAAATTCTACGTTTGAAAGCGGAGAGCAAATACTCGACGCAGTAGCTGCAACATCAAATACATATAGCGTCCTTTTTTCATTAATTATACGCGAACGGCTTAGCGGACGTACAGTAACAGTAATTGAATCTTGCCAATAGTGGCGAACATGTGGCCCTATCTGACATAATATTAATATGTAGGCTATGTATCAAGCATTTATCAATCACTATATGACCAGTGGTTTGACTTGAAAGATCGCTATTCGAATCCCTAGCCTTGTAAATATAATTATATATATATATATATATATATATAATATCATACACACATGTAATATATTATATATTGTATATATATAACATACACACAGTATATATATATATATATATATACATGTATATAAATTGTTTTTATTATTTTATATAATTATATATATATAAGTGCGCTATATATACATACAGCCATGTTGTTGTGTAGCATGTAGGATCTGATGAGTTCCGTAGCGGGCGGGTCGGCCTGCCGGAACACGAGCTCCTTACCTGACGAAGCCCTACGCCGTCACCATCGTCACCCTACGCGCTGTCGCTAGCTCACAGCACAAAGACGCGCCATCGCCTGTGAGAAGCTGAAGCCTCTCGCGCATCACAACACCAGTGTAGAATAGATCATGTATATATGTGATATTATCATATTCAGGAGTGATCTATCTATCTCTGCTCTCGTCTCATCTCTCTTTCTCTCTCTCTCGTCTCTACTCTCTCTCTCTCTATATATATATATATATATATATTATATATATATATAATAATAATTTAATTATAACACTCCTGATCATATATATAGTAAGATGTGTTATGATGATAGGGATATATTATATATATATATATATATCAAGAGTACATAATATAGACTCTCTATTTCTACTCTTGATATATTATAATATATAGAGAGAGAGAATTATATATATATTAATATATATATATATGTATATATGCATGTGATATGTGATAGATAGGTGATGTGTATATGATGATAGGTGATATATATATATATATATATATAATATATATATAATATGTTTGATATGATATAGATAGGTAATGTGTATATGATGATATGTGATATATATACGTCGCACGCGTCCGCAAGCACAAACGCGCAGTACTCACACACACACAAACCACACACCACACACACAACACACACACAACACACACACACAGCACACACACACACCCACACACACACATCACACACACACACAACACACACACACACACACACACGCACGCACACACACACACACACACACACACACAACACACGCACCACACACACACACCTCCCCACCACACACACACACACACAGCACACACAACACATACACACACATACACACACCCTCCCCCACACACACGCCCACATGTACGTATATACAACGGAATTTCTCTCTCCGTTCGCATTGCTCAGCCGCTAACATCCGCTACTGGCCCGTCGACTCGACTCGGTGAACGAGAACAGCGTCAACTGTACCAGCACAACTCCACCGCAGTCGAGATCGAGGAGTACAGCCTACGCGCTGCTGGGCGATGCTGCGAGAGGAGGAAACTCTCCTACGGCAACGCCGATCGTCGAGTGCTGATGACAACAACGCAACGCGCACGGCGGCTTCCTGTCGACAACAGGTATGTGTGTACTGAACTTCCGGTTTTTGCGTTCCGGATGAATCCTGTTCCCGTGTCGCGATTCCTGTCATCGAGGGTCAGCATAGGTCCTGTTGATACAGGTAGGGACATTCCTGTCTCCGCTACGCGATAATTCCTGCCCCTGTGTTACGGTTCCTGTCCACACGGGTCAGCACACTGATTCAGATAGGTAGAGCGCCCACCGATTGCCTTTTTGTCTCTTTATTACTATTATTGTTATACTATTATTATTACTTACTAACGTCGTGTTTCTCGCGTGCAGGACACGGTGGTGGCGCTGCAGGCGTTGCTGACTACAGCGCACGCGCAAAGGTCGACGAGTTGGAGCTG